GAGGGGACTTGGCTGGTGAAGAGGATGGGCAGATGTAGTCTGGCTGGCACGGGGTCCCACCATCCATCCCATCCAGGTACCCCGCTCCGGGGACGTGCAGGTGGTGGCATCTGCGCGCGGGATTCCACCCCACCCCCTGCATGTGAGCCAAATGCTCCCTCCCCTCCCCCACTCCAACCCGAGCTGTGACAGGGCTTCGGGCTTCCAGGCTGGCCAGATACCTCATCTACAGCCCCTGTACCCCCTTTTCACAGTTGTTAAGCTACCTCGCATTCCAACTCAGTTTCCCAAACTTTTTCTCCCTCAGCGTCCTGGCCGGAGAGCGCGGGAGATTGCGCTCGCGCTTGCTTATCTCCCGCCCTCGTGCACCGCGCCCTCAGGGCATCTCCCACCACCCACCCCTCAGCATTTCTAGGGGCTCCTTTCCTGCTCCCGCCAAATGTAGAGCCTCCTCTCCTCTGCCCACCCTATCAAACTCAGTGGAAAAAGATTTATTTTCTATCCATTTTTACCTCTTCTCTCAAAGCCTAGAGTCCTCAGGGGAGGGTTCTGAAAGTTCTCCCTCCCCCTGAAAGAAAACATGAATTTGCCTTTAATGTTAAGTTGTTGGTGAGAATCGAACAGGAGTTGCCCCCGGACCCCCGGATTGAAGAGTTAATTAATGATCACTTCTTTCAAAGCCTGGATGAGAGCTGAGCAAACTTAGTTGAATATATATATATTTAATCTGTCTTTGTTGGCCTCGAAATGAAAGCCAGATGCACCCATCTTACCGTAGAAATTTTCGAAACTAAAGGATAAAAGCAATTTTTTGATAATCTTCATCAGAAAGGGAATTAAGTCTTGAGGGGTAGAAACTGCTAGCTAAGCGGCATGTGTTTGTAAAAGGTCCTGCAGGCTCCTTAAAAGTCGGAAATGGGAATAATTTTCGTTCACAGGAGATATGTGCTGCCTCTGAGTCCCCTCCCCGAATTGTTACAACTTTGAAAGAACTTTTTTAAAATTAATTAGTACATTTCAATATTTTTCCAAGCAGGCTTAAAGGCTTTCTCTTGAGAATTACGCTTTTGGTCACCTTTCATCAAGCTGAGACTAAAACTTAGTTAACATATGGAAGAACTAAAAAGACTTTAACACCAATTTTAATTACAGTGTTTGATACGGGATGTAAAGTCGGTATTTCGAAGTGGAATCAAAGGTCAGACTGGGTGCACTTTATAACTATCAAACCTCTCCCCTCCCCCACCACAGCTACTGGACAGAGGAGTGGTGATATGACTTATCTGTAGACTCCTTTTTTAAGGAAAACCAAAATATCCTAATAAAATAAGCTGGTTGGGAAAATTCAGCAGAGATCGTTTTCATTTAAACTTTTGCTTCCTAAATTTGTACATGTGTGGAATTTATCTTGATTTGCAATGTGTGATGTGACAGATGCTGTTGGTTAGGTTTGTTTAATACAGTTTTCCCCATTTTGTGGATGGGAAAACTAAGGCTTTAAGAGTTAGTCTTTTTGTCATTTTCCTCCTTAGTAAATGGTACATATGTTAACTGTTGGAGTCTTAAACCACAGGGTATTTTTTTATTCTACTTAACAATACACATCACTTGTCTTAAGTTTCTTCTACAGTCTTACACCCCAGTTCCATTGGGACTGTCCTAAACACTTCTACCTAGGCTTGATTCCATATACTTCCCTGCAATCCACCATTGCCAATGTCCTGTGACCTTTTCAAATTGGGGGCCAAATTTCTGTTTAGAAACATACAAAGGTTTGGTCTGACTACCTCTAAAAGATCACACCTAATACCTAACTTTCCCCTAATCTATGATTAAGTGGGTAGCAGATGAATGAAATGGCAAAACTAGACATGTGCCCCACATTGATTGATAGGGGGATATGGAATCAGGTGATATCTTTGTGTGATCGATTACATGAACAGAATACAAAGTGTTTGTTTAGGAGCACTTAGCTTGATCTCTGCAAAGTTCTTGACCCAAGATGGACTTAACCATATAAATCCAGGTTTTTGCCTTCTGATGCTTAATTTAGAAAACGGCAAAGAATCCTGTAGTCTGGAAAAGTTAAAAAAGAAAGAAAGAAAGAGGTTAAAAAAATGAAATTATGCCAGCATGTGAAATACAGTCCAAGGCAGCTGCTGGAAAAGCTCATGAGGGCAAAATTAGAACAGTTTGAGCCAAAGCTGTTCTCTGTGCGGTGTTCTCGTTCCTGCAAGTCCTGTCTCAGACAAATGAGGAAATGCATTAGGGAAATCGCAGTTCAGAGGACTGACTTTGAGGTGTAATGGAATTGGCATAGTCAGACCTGAAGGTCTGTGTGCTTTCCTATCAGCTTGCCCCCTGTGCCCAATCACCAGAACCCACACAAATAGAAGAAAGCCAACCTCCTAGAGTTGTCCTCTGGCCACATGTGCATCGTGACACATGCATGCCCACACAATAAAATGGGGGAGGGGATTTAGTTCCACTACAAATAATGATAACTGGATGAATGTGGTACCCTGGAACAGGTGGAAAAAGCTAAAGATCCATGGGTTGTAGTGAATAGTTTGGGGTTGATACACGTTAATTCGGGCATGCGCACCATGGTAATGCAATGTGTTCATTTCTGTTATTGGTCATGTAAGGACCCTGGGTTCAATCACCAACAAGGAATAGGGGAACATGTTTCTTACTGTTTCTTGTATTCTTTTCATAGGTTGTAAAGAAGGAAGCCCTGTTCTTTCCATTAAAATGAAGTGTTTTAATTGCAACCCTGACCTTTCTGAACTGGAAGTGGTAAAACCTGAGGACAGTGGGAGACAAGGTTCCTACAATCCTGTGTGTTTGGAGCCTTCCTGTAAGGATTGCTTTAGAAACCAGGAAAGGCTGTCTTTCATTGAGTCGCCAACTGTGGGACATGATAACAACAAGGAAAATCAACATGTACAGAAAATCCTCAATAGTCCCAGTGAAATAGAAGAGCTAGAGGCCAGTAGACTGTATGAAGACAGTGGCTATTTGTCATTTACACATCAAAGTGACCAGGAGGATAGTACCCTTATCCTGGAGAATTTCAGAAACAGTCCCCAGCCCTGCCTGCTGCCATCACAGAGCTCAGACCAGTATCCCAACAAAAACCTGCTGCCTCTCTTGGAGTTTGAAAGAGTGGTCTGTTCAACATTAAAGAAGAATTCCAAGCGAAACCCTAAAGTGGATCGAGAAATGCTGAAGGAATTTATCGCCAGTGGAAACTTTAGACTACAAAATATAATTGGCAAGAAAATGGGTCTGGAGCACCTCGATATCCTCAGTGAGCTCTCCCGTAGGGGATTCAAACACCTTTTAGCTAATATTTTGACGAAGCTGGGCGACATGGATTTAATAAAGTGAGTGTGTTGCACACTGCATGTATTAGGTAACGGGGCCCGCTTGGATGGACAAGTGTAAAGCAGTCTTGACAGTGCTGCCTTGGGTTTGATGGATGGCATTTGAAAAGAAGGAAAATGAGATCTGCATCTAGTCTGGGCACTTTGAATTTTGTAGTCTTCCTATTAGGATGCATTCTGTTTTGAAACACCTGGATCAGCATGTGGAGTGTGCCATTTCAATTACTATAACGGGTTTTCAAAATCTGTTACAAGTAGCCTAGAGTCCTATCAAATAGCTAACATGGAGGTGTGCACACTGTACCTGTATGAAATTGGTTCTCCAGATGATACTCAAAAAAATTGATACAACTGAAGCTTGACATTTTTACATTTTTGGCCCTTTGGTAGTTTGGTTAGAGACTAATAACTAGGCTTGGTCATCTGAGCATTTCAATGTTTAGTCGGGTTATTGAAGTTTGCACTGGACTTAATGTTCTTGGTTTATCTTAACATCTTTGTCTCCTTTGCTTCTAGTTTGTCTAAAGTGAGCAAAATTTGGAAGAAGATAGTAGAAAGCGATAAAAGAGCATTCCAGCTATACAGCAAAGCAATGCAGAGAGTCCTTGTAAGTTCTTATAAGTGTTTTCTTGAAGTGTCCTTGCTCTTTTTCCTTTAGAAAAAGATTTTACAGCTGGGTGGTGGTGGCAGTACACGCCTTTAATCCCTGCACTTGGGAGGCAGAGGCAGGTGGGTCTCTGAGTTCAAGGACAGCTGGGGCTACTTAAAAAATAAATAAATAAATAAACAACAGCAAAACACAATTCTAAGTCCCTTACACCAGGACTTACACCAGTCTCCTGGGGGCTGGAGAGAAAGGGGTATAAGAGGCTTGCAGTGTGTAGGGCTTCTTAATTAAACAAGTTTTAAAAATTACACTTGGGTCACACTTCCTCTAAGCTGGAAAAGCTTAGATTTCAAAATGAGGACTGCAGGGATGGGTGGTATGTGTTAACTTTGTCAGTTACAAGAAAAACTGAGTTATCAACATCTGGAGAGTTGTACAGTATAGAGCAGGGGTTCTCAACCTTCCCAATGCTGCGACCCTTGAATACAGTTCCTCATGCTGTGGTAACCCCCAACCATAAAATTATTTTCATTGCTACTTCGTAACTAATTTTGCTACTGTTATGACCATGAATCTGAATGCAAATACCTGCTATGCAACCCCAGTGAAACGGTCACTTAATCCCACTCCCCACCCTGCAAGGGGTCGAAACCCACAGGTTGAGAACTGCTGGTATAGAGGAAGTATTGGATTTTCTGAAGTAATTGGTAATTATATTATTTCTGACAGTGATCAGTATATGATTAGAAGTTTAGGTCTTACAGTTAGACATGTTGAGAAGTTTGAGAACAGCCTGAGCTATATCTTGACCTCTTCTCAAAAAAACTAAATGCGTGATTGATAAATGACTACTGCCACCTATTGATAGTGGGAAGAATGACCATTTGTTCTGTGGGCAGGGCTTTGGTCTTGGTTAGTTTAAAGGCACCTTGAATTCCTCGTAGGTGCATCTTGGTTTCTGATTGACACATGAGTGAGTTTGTTTTGGAATGTTTCTGTGCATAGCTCTGCTGGACTGTTCTATAAACCTGCATTCCTGTGTGATCCTTTTAACAACTGCAAATGTAATAGTACAGAAAAGGATTTTAAAGTCTCTTAAACCCTTTCAATCAGGAAAGCAGTAAGTTGTCACTGCACTCTTCAACCAGAGGATACGTTGTGGGCAGAACTGCACTAACTTCTGTTCAGAAGTCATCGACTTGGGCTCCTCCCAAAAAAGATGCTCAAGCCAAGTTCCCCAGGCAGCGTGATCAGAAAGGCTCTGCCTACAGCCGGCACAGTGAGTTCCTTGAGGTAACTGTCAAACTGGTAATTATTAGGAATGGGGGCAACTTACTGATAAACATAAGGAGGGCTTCAAAGTTCAGTTTGGCACTCCAAGGTATCTAGTGCTTGCTACTCAATTAAATCACAGCTATTGAGGTCACATCTTCTGTCCCCTTTGTTCATTCTCAGTGACCTTGAAATTTCTCAGAATATTCCACGCTACATTTTGTAGTGACTGCTGTCATAAGGACACAAGGTCCTTTTGGAAATGCATGGCTTCCTCTATTGCTCCCTTGTACAAATAATGAAAACCCTGAGCCATCAGGTGATAGATACTAAAATGTTTCCTGTGTATATTTATCTGTATATTGGAGGCATAGCTGCCCTTCCTGGTTTAGTTATCAAAATTCATTTAGTCCGATAAAATACATGTATGGATTTTTTTCTTCTAGGTGGCCAAGACATTAAAAAACAATGAAAGCCTGAAAGCCTGTATTCGGTGTAATTTCCCTGCAAAATATGACCACTATTTAGAGCGAGCTACCTGCAAACGGGAAAGCTGTGGATTCGACTATTGTACAAAGTGTCTGTGTGATTATCATAATAACACCAAAGACTGTTCGAATGGCAAGCTCCTAAAAGCCAGCTGTAAAATAACAACAGGCCCGTTGCCTGGAACTAAAAAGAGTAAAAAGAATTTACAAAGATTGTGACCCTTAGTAATTCAATTGTGGGTAATCTTAATTTCCACTTTTTAAAAAATGTTAGATTTTAACTTCAGAAGGTAAAAATGTGTGGTGCCTTTTTGCCCCTTTGTGAATAGAGGACATGCAGCCTCTTAAAACAATTAGTTTAATGTTAAGAAATTAAATTTGTCCATATAAATGCAAAGACTTAGATCTTTTAAGAAAAAGAGAAACTGGATATCTATTTGTAGTTAGATGGTAAAATAAGATTGATTGGATTTTATGGCAAGTGGAAGCTGTGATTCTATGGAGTCTAAAACATGTGGTTCGAAGTTAGCAGCATCTGTGATGCTTTACCAAATGTATGTTGTGTTCATGTCAACTTGAGTCTGTCCATTTAAATGTCTTATCAGTGTGAGCCTTTTTCAGTGTTCAAAGTATCGGTTGTAAAGTCTTGTTTATTTCTGGTCTGTTTTAATGTTTTTATACCTGTAAATATTTGTTTTTACATGCCAAAGAAAATAAATATACATATAACTTTGTTTTGTTAAGAATAAAATTGTTATAAGTTTAGTGGCATGTGCTGTTTTTTTTTCCATTAGTACTGAAACAAGTGCATTAAGCTGTGAAAGAACTTGGGTGGATCGTGTCTCAGAGGGCTTGTCATTTGCTGTGAGTTCTCTCCCGGAGGTTTATCTAGTAAGTCTTGAAGGCCTGTAGATAAGCATCTCTAGATGCCACTGCAACTCCTTAAAACACTTAAGGGTGAAAGAAAAAAATGGGCATTTTCTGTGTCAAAGTAGTGGACACTTGTTTTTATTTTCTAGTTTTTATTATCCATAAGAAATTGTTCTAGATGACCTGCAGTGCCAGTTTAGTGGTATTGTCTTGCATTGGCTTATTTTTTTATCATGAGCAATCCTTCAGTTTCAAAGAACAACGATGCATACAGTGATCCTAGGGCGTGGTCACCTCATTGCTTCTCTGGCTTTGGGGGTTGCTGATGAGCAAATTAACTGCTTGGTTTTTAGGGTTTTTCAGTTTTGTTTTGTTTTTTTCAAGACAGGGTTTCTCTGTGTAGCCCTAGTTTTCCTGGAACTTACTCTGTAGCCTAGGCTGTCCTTGAACTCTGAAGTCAGTTCTAATGGGATTACCTATGAAAATAACTTTACACTTAAAGCTCGGTATTATTCTGTACTATTGGTATTTTAAGTCTAATTGAACATGAATAGGGTTTTGTTTTTGTATTTTGTTAATTTTGATTTCCAAATGTCTCCTGAAGCTGATGGTCCATTTCTTCCCCTTAGTTTTGAAGGATTTTTTTTTTTTTTTTATAGTGTGTTAAATAGGTTTTCTATATCGTTAGTCTACCTCTTTACCTTCAACCTCACTCACTGGGTATCAGATTTGGTTTCTTAGTTGTATCACAGGCTTTGGCTGTCATTGCTTCTGCCACCACTTAGTGCTATCTAACTGTAATCATTCTTGGATATGTAACCCCTGCTACTCATTCCTGCCCAGTCTCACCTGATGAGGGTTGTCTTGGGGTTACTGTTGATATTGGTGAAACACCATGACCAAAACCAACTTGGAATAAAAGTTTATTTTATTCACATTTCAAATCAGTTCATCAATAGCAGCCAGGGCAGGAACCTGGAGGCTGGAGCTGATGCAGAGGCTCACTTGCTTGCTCAGCCTGCTTTCTTAAAGTGACAACAGCCCAGGGATGGCACCACCCATAAGAGGCTGGGCCCTTCCTCATCAATCACTAAGAAAATGCCCCACAGGCTTGCCTAGACCTAATTTTTTTTTTAAAGATTTTATTTGTTTATTATGTATACAACATTCTGCTTCCATGTATATCTGCACACCAGAAGAGGGCACCAGATCTCATAACGGATAGCTGTGAACCACCATGTGGTTGCTGGGAATTGAACTCAGGGGCCTCTGGAAGAGCAGTCAGTGCTCTTAACCTCTGAGCCATCTCTCCAGCCCCCAGCCTAGACCCAATCTTACACAGGCATTTTCTGTTTTCTAGGCTAGTAGTTTTCAACCTGTGGGCCCCAGGACTCATTTGGAGGGTTAGACGATCCTTTACAGGTTGCATATCAGATATTTACAATTCATAACTGCAGCATAAATGCAGTTAGGAAGTAGCAGTGACAATAATTTTATGCTTGGGTCACCACAGCATGATGAACTGTACTAAAGGGTTGCAGCATTAGGAAGGTTGAGAACCACTGCTCTGAACTTAGCTGTCCTGTCACCTCTTGGTCTCTAATAACACTTTTTTCCTTGACTTAATGTCTACCCTTTGTTATCAAAACTTTTTACCTGGTCATTTGAAGGAAACTTCTAACATACTTTTTGAAGAAAATTACATTGTTGTTTTTGTTTTTCTTTAAACAGGATACCAGTTAGGATCATCTGGGAAAAGGACACCCACCCCACCCCACCCCACCCCCGAGAAAGATTGGCCTGTAGACGTATCTGTAGACATATATTTTCTTGATTAATGATTGTGGAAGGCCCAGTTCACCGTCAGTGGTGCCAACTCTGTATGCATGTCCCCAGGGTGTATAAAATAGCAAGCTGTGCAAGCCACAGAGCAAACTAGTACTTCTCCATGGTCTCGCTTTAGTTCTGGCATCCAGCTCCTGCCTTGAGTTCCTGCCCTGACTCCTTCATGATAAACAGCAACTGTAAACTGTAAGCAGAAACAAACCCTTTCCTCCTCAAATTGCTTTTGGTTGTGTTTTCTCACATGTTGGAAAATAGCTTAGATGGTTGCTTTTCAAGGACATACCCTAGAAATTTTCCAAATTGGCACTCTTTCTCAAGAAATGTGTGAGAGTTCCGCTTATTTGCCATTCTTGTCAACACTTACTACTGTGTAGTTTTGGCACTATACTGGCTGGGCTGTGGTAGTTCCTTCCTATAGCTTTCATTTATATCCTGTGATGGATGTCTAGTATCTTGTTACTTGACTTCATTTTCCTTGATGAAATATGATCTTAAACAACTTATCTTTGTTGTTGTTTTCTTACAGACATTTGGGAATATACATTGTTTTTGTTTGTTTGTTTGTTTACTGAGACAGGGTTTCTCTGTAGCTTTGGAGCCTATCCTGGAAATTGCTCTATAGACTAGGCTGGCCTTGAACTTACAGAAATCCACCTGTCTGCCCCCTAAAAGCTGGGATTAAAGGCATGTGCCACCACCACCCAATGCATTTCTCTTTTATTGGTGTTCTCAACCTCAGTGCTGCCCATTTCATATAATCAAATGCTATCTTCACAATTAGCCCTGAGGCCAACTTAACACACACCAACTCCCCTGTTGGGAGTGCTATTGGGTACCAGGAAATGAGTGTCTCCAGGACTCTGCCTAGGAAGCTTGTCATGTCTTTTCACACAGCTGGAGGGCTGCTGTAAACTGACTGTGTAAGAGTGTTTCAGCAGTTTCTCTGCTCAGTCTTACCCTGAGGAAATGACATTGTTCCCTTTGCTTCAAATTCTACTTTAACAGTTTGAACACATTGCCACAAGATGGCGCCCTTTCAACACCGTCCTTATCAGTGTTCATTCTGTGAATTTAATATAAAAAAGATGGGAGAATATTATTGCTTTTCTATTCAATTTATGTTGCCACATTATAAAATTAAGTACATACATATTGCTATGTTAGGATAGTTTGAACAGTTTTAACTTTTGGTCTTAGACATGAAGAGTATGTCTTCTGTTCAATATTGGAAAACATTGTTCCTTTCGAAGTGTGACTCTGGGCTAACCTTTGTAGAAGCAATGTGTCACTAGAGGACATTTGAAACACAGCTCAACCAAGTGGTGGTGGTGCATGCGTTTAATCCCAGCACTCGGAAGGCAGAGGCAGGCAGATAGATCTCTGTGAGTTCGGGGCCAGCCAGGTCTACAGAGAGAGTTCCAGGACAGCCTCCAAAGCTACAGAGAAAAAACGTGTCTTGAAAAACCAAGAAAAAAAGAAAAAAGAAAAGAAAAGAAACACAGCTCATCCAAGTCCAAAGTGAGATGCATTGTAACATAAATGTAGCATGCACACCAGATATTGGAGACTCTGTATAAAGCAAGACAAAATCAGCTAGACAATTTTCATATTGACTACTGATTAAAATAATCATATATTAACCGGGTGATAGTGGCGCAGCCTTTAATCCCAGCACTTGGGACACAGAGGCAGGTGGATCTCTATGAGTTCCAGGACAGCCAGGGTTGTTACACAGAGAAACCCTGTCTCGAAAAATGAAAAGAAAAGAAAAAAAGCAATCATATGTTAGATTTTCTGAGCAATTCGAACACTATGAAGTTCACCCAAATTACATAGAACAAAGAAGTCTTTTTTTGGCACAGTAAGTGATGTGTCTAGATGGAGGACCCTAACACTCAAGAGCTCAAGTGTTTGTTTATATGTTTTTATTAAAAGAAATTTTATTTAATACATATGTAGGTGAGAGGACATTTGCTAGAAAAAAAAATGAATGACAGTATCTTTTCAAACCCTGGAGGTTAAATATTCCCTGTGTTTTGTTGCTGTAATTCTGAGTTGCTAATATGTAAAGGGTAACTTTTTCCATAACAGAATAGGGAGATATAGTCAGACATTAGGTACACCAAAGCATTTCATCTTTATATGTGTATAGGGAAAAGGATGACCAGAAGAGAGCATTGGATCCCCTGAAGCTGGGGTTACAGGCAGTTGTGAGCCACCTGGCATGGGTGTTGGACCTGAACTCTGGTCCTATGCAAGAGCAGTGGGCACTCTGATCACTTATCCAGCTCTCCAGGGAACTTATTTTCCCAAAGCTCCTGTGACAGAGACGGCACCTGATACCTCATCATCAGATATTTGTGGCTTCAGCTTTTGACTTTCTCACTACTTAACCTTGGACATGATTTTTGTAGCCAAAACAATCTGTGTTAAACTTTCTATCATCTGTATTACTCTACTACTGAAAACTAAAAGTATTTTGTCCTCAATAGGGTGACAAGAGAAAATGGACTTACTGCCAGGTAAAGATTTTGTTACAGTATGGAGCTAATGAACCTTTAAATACCTTCTAAGTGCTAATGTAGACATTTAAAGTTACTCATTTGTCCATATTTAGGACACCTGTTGAGCACCTTCTGTATACAGTGTGAGCTAGCTAGGTAATGTCAAATGCAGAGCCTGTGCCTGAGTTCCATCGGAGATTTCAACTCTAAGACCCCCTAACAGTTAGTAATAGATGGCTTGGGTGTGCTGCCACACTCCCTACAACTTAACAAGTAGAAACGTTTTAATTGTATTAAGGACCAACTCCCTTGCTCTAGAGGGTGGACTGGAAGTGACTTAATTGAGTGGAGGAGATTGTAGGACACATGAGTACGCTCTATGGAATCAGACCAGTGAAGAACTGATGTTCTAGACCCAAGATGGAGGGAAGCATGTCCTTTCTCCAGGAGCAGATTCTCAGACCACAGATGCACAAGCAATGTCTATGTCATCCCTATATCCTGGAGAGATGCAGCTGAGAAACAATATTTATGCCATGCCTATGT